AATTTGATTAGATTTTCTTGAATTTTTTTAACAAATCTTACTAAATAACATATTGTTAAAAGATACAACAACAAATCTTCTTAGAAATAAACATAATCACACTCAGAATTACTCACAAAATCTGACTATATCTTGAGAGTATATAATGTACACATGTTAAAATATCTTGTCGTATATAATACCTCTTCACAATTAACATTTTGTTGTTCGTGTTATTTTATTTAAAGTAGTCAATAAAAAAAATAACAATAATAATTGACTAATGATATTAGATATACTACGATTATAACTAGAATCAAGACAAGAATTTTTTTTATGTTTTTGTAATAATTAAAGATGCTAACTCTTACACTCTTGTGACTTTATGATTCTAGATCATAAAAACAAGTTAAACTTTTCTTTTACATGAAATTTAAACTTATATATACACAATTTTATGTAAACTTTAACAGATTTATTTTATGAACATCTTACGAGTTTGTGCATGTGCATTAACATGATCTTAAAATGGAAAATTTTGTCGATATTATTTTATAATGTAAACTTGCACTTATAATGTACTTGTGAGTGATAACTGTTATATCATATTTTTATATTAACTTGTTTTAAAACTTTATAATGAATATTTACCTGTTTAAAAATATCAGTGCTTTATAGTATTAGTAGAGATAAAATTATTGTTTTAATGATATTATATTTTATATATCATACCTATGCTATTTTAATATATAAGAATTGTGTCTAGGAGGTTAAATTTAGCTAAACTCTAAACTCTAATTAAAGTCATATCAACTAGAAGTTGATCCTCTAACTTTGAATTCTTTAACTTTTCAAGAGAGAAAGTGAGAAAAGGATGGACAAAAGGAAACAACATAGGAGAGAATGCATTTTTAGAGAGATAAAGAAGTGAGAGGTGCGGTTGCCGCATTAAACTTAGAGGATCTTGGTGCGAATCAGGGTACATATGCTCCTGCTAGTGTAACTAATGTATCGATGTATTTCTAATATGATTGCTTGGAGAAACCGTAGCTATTAAGGAAGAGGGTTGAGCTATAACGAATTGATGCACTATAAAATAAGTTGTGTGTTGTCACGTGACTCTCACGTCGCTAACATCAAAATTATGTCACAACTTTGTTTTTACCACGTGAAGAAACACGTCGCTGGAGAGCGCTTGACAATGTTATTGCGACGTGGGAAACATGTCACAACGTTGCCACGTGAAATTCATGCCGCAACAAACTTTATGGGATCAAAGGCAGTCAGAACAGAGCAGAGGTCAAAACAGGTTTTATATTCACTTTTACATTGTGTGTTGCGGCGTGTTTTTCATGTCACTAATTTGTGATGTGGAAAACACGTCGCAACTTATTTTAAAGATAAATAAATTATTTTCTGTTTTAAATATAATAATTCTGATTTAATAATTAATATTATTTTCTGTTTCATTAAATTTATAAATTAAATATTATAATTTATTTATTAAATTTAATATTATAAATCAAATTATCAAAAATAAAACTAAATATATCAAAATATATAAATTAATATACTTAATATAATAAAATTAATAAACTAAAATTTAAATTTAATATTTTTAAATATAAAATATGACTATAAATTTATATTAGTTTTATTGACATATAATATAGTTTTTATATAATATTTTTTAATTATAAAACAGTTTTTTATTAACATATAATACAATTTTTATATAATTTTTTTAATTATAAAACAGTTTTTTATTAACATTATATATATATATATATATATATATATATATATATATATATATATATATATATATATATATATATATATATATATATATATATATATATATATATATATATATATATATATATATATATATATATATATATATATATATATATATATATATATATATATATATATATATATATATATATATATATATATATATATATATATATATATATATATATATATATATATATATATATATATATATATATATATATATATATATATATATATATATATATATATATATATATATATATATATATATATATATATATATATATATATATATATATATATATATATATATATATATATATATATATATATATATATATATAATATAAAATACAGTTTTATATAATTTTTTTTAATTCTAAAATCATTTTTATTAACATTCTACATAAAATATAATATTATATTTGTTTTGAAAAAATATATTAACATCAAATATATACTATTTTTTATATTATTATATTATTTTTTATAATATTATACTGTTTTTTTATATATGCATAGTTATAAAAGAATTTTAAAATAATAACATTAAATATATATATTTTTTAATTATAAAACAGATTTTATAATAATAACATTAAACAGTTTTTACTAAATATATACATATTAAAACAGTTTTTTAAATATGTTTTTATTTAATACAAAAAACTATTTTTTTATATATGTTTTTAATCAATACATAAAATATTATATTATATTTATTTTAAATAAAATATATATTAACATTAAAACTTTTTTTATAAAATTTATATATTATTTTGTTTTGTTTTTGTTTTTTATAATAAATAAATTAAATAAATCAAGATATATAACTTATCATAATATATATTTTTGTTTATTAATAAATATTTATTTATATATATTTTCGTTTTTTAACAAGAAGTACGTATATAATATATATTCTCATTTTTTAAAATTATATTTAATGAAAATTACAATATTATAATTTAATCAAATTCAACCTAAAATCTAACTAAATTCAGAAAATATATCAAATGTAAAAAAAAATTTCAAGAAATACCTCTTCTCTTCTAACTCCTTCAATCTTCTTGTCCAACCTTTTTGCAATCTACTTCTACTATATCAATCTTCTTCTATTCAAAGAAAAATTAAAATAAATTACAATCACATAATACAATAAATAAAAACTTGTAAACAAAATAGAGACAAAATTAAATTAAATTAACCTGAAAAACAAGGATTAATGAAGATTGAAGTTGAATTTTATGAAAAAGAAGAGGTTTTATAATGGAGATTGAGTTGGATTTTATGAAGAAGAGGGTTAATGGAGATTGGGATGGAATGAGAGAGGGAGAGTTGTGTTTGTTGAAAATATACTACTGTCTTGTGCTTGGTGTAACGTGATTTAATTAAATATATAAACCATTCAGCGACATGAAAATCACGCCGCAACTTTGCCACATGACTTTCACGTCGCAACAATGCCAACGGTCATATTCTCTTTCTTCACATGCCTGCAAAAGCTGATCATGTCAGTCTGAATTAATTTGATTTTCCCTCTTAAATGTTGCGACGTGAATACCACGTCACAACTGACTTTTTCAAAATTTCAAAAATCCGAAACGTTAGACCAATTAAAATATTTTATATTATATTTTTACTAGCAACATGTTTTTTTTTAAAACTCAGACAACCATCATGCTGTTTTATTTTATTAATAAAACATGTTGTCACGTGATTATCATGTTGCAACTGACTTTTTTTAACCACATAATAATCACGTGGCAAAAACACGTGGCTGAAGATGATATTTTTTATAGTGATGTAGCGTAACTGCGATTAGAATTGATCTGAATGAAGCTTTAAATGTAGTTCTGGAGCTTCTCCTGTACCCTACCTATATGGAGTGGAGGAAGATTTGGTGAGGAAGGTCATAGTTAAGTCACCAAGCTGAAAAGTAGCTACCCCTCTTTGATTCTGCACAGCCCCGGGTGAAAAGTAGCCGTCCCTCTTTGATGTGCACAACTCCTACCACGAGACACCTAATAGTGTCTTTCTCTCATCTTTTTTATAACAACATCCAGTTCATAGAGAACTGTCCACTCCCACCTCGACCGAGAAAGAGATCCAAGGCTTCTTTTAAGAAAGTATGGCAGTGATAGATGGCCTGCCCCTAGCTCTCAAATTTTTATATTTTTGCTATCAAATGAGTGCTTTCATTTTCTGCCACCCGCTTTTATAATCGGCTCTTTCTTACCGGCATCTCAAGAAAAAATCTTTCATGATCCATTCTTCCGGAATTGGATAGAGAATAGTTGGGATATTCCACCGGGAGGGAGAGACAGGGTGACATCAGAAGTAGGATCGTCGAACACATTGCAGTATAACATTGAGAATCGACTTGTTGGATTAGATCCTCTTCCCACATCAACTGCATTTGATTGCAATCTCTGGCATGAATTGCCATGGCTATGCAGATAAATGAGAATTTACAAACAACTATAGGAGCAGTGCAGAAGAGAATCCACAATGCAGACAATCACTCAATTAATTCAAATTTCAATGAAGCACCAATAGAGCACTGAGCAGCTGTTGAGGTTATACCAGAGAAGAGGCCCAAGGGTGAAGTTTTCTTCCAGCTGGAAAGGTGTAATGAAACGCACACAAAAGCAAATTTTATCCCATCATTGACTAAGAATTTACAATAACTGCATGAATATTGAAAGAATAATCAATATCTGGTAAGCATACACATCACAACTTAGTAAGCATACACTTCAAATTGAAGATCTGTAACATCCAACATGCATTGGCCTCCAACACCAATACGACCCTGATACTTGTGATTCAGCTTGAGCTATTTGTTTATCACCATGACATGCATTTTACTTATAGGTTTCATATGATCCCTAATAAATAGAATACAAAATATTTACAACTTAACCTAAAAACAACATTCTTAACATCATAATCTTAAAAGGTATGATTACAGCTCCATTTTAAATCAAATTTTACAGTAGTCCGGTAACATCTACTCTGACTTGTTTCATTAAAGTACAAACAACCAATAAGGTACCACTGCCCTTGAATGATTGCAAATTAGATATATAAATAGCATAACAAGGCACAAATATTGATTAAATATCCTTTCGCAGCATATCATATTCTAATTTATGATTCTAAGGGATAAGATTAACTGCTAAACTTCGCGTGGTAGCTACTATCTTTACGACTGCTCAACTCTCGGTGGTGGTGGTAACTGTCTTTGATCGAGTCAAACTTTGCCATGATGGAAATGTAGCGGCGCTTGAAATAAGGTAAATTATGAATGCAACATACGCAGCTGTTATTACGCTCACAACAGCGGTGATCACTGCTCCATTCACTTCAGAGGAAAAGAATTCCAGCAAAAGATAGCCATTTATCACTATCACCAGAGCAGCCACAAGCCAGGAAATAGTCTGTATTGAAATCATAAAAGAATTATGAGCCATGACTATCATACAATGAATCCAAAATGCAATGGAAGGAATCATATATATACCTTGAGGGCAGAGCCGATTTTGAAAGTGCCCATTATCTGCTCCTTCGACACCAAACAAAGCAACGGAATCAATGCGAAGGGGATTTGTACTGACTGAAGAACATTAAGCCATTCATTTAGAACATCTAATGAATCCTCTGAGGTATCAAATATAAGAGCAACTATCATGGTTGGAACGATTGCGAAACTCCGCGTAATCAACGCCCTCATCCATTTTTTCAACTTCAAATTCAGAAAACCACCCATGATGAATTGTCCAGCATATGTACCAGTAATAGTGCTACTTTGACCGGCTGCTAATAACCCGATAGCCCATATATAAAGGATTGGGAATACTCCGCCTCCATACTTCTCCTGAAGATACTGCCCTGCGTTTACAAGACCGATCCTATTGGCTATTTTGGTACCGTAAAAGCCCTTAGCAAACACAGTTGTGACAAATATATTAATGACAAAGGAGACAACAAGCGCAATGGTAGACTCTATTGAGTAGTATTTAAGAGCTTCTTGAACACGGCCTTTCTTTTTCGGGTCAACTCGTCTTGATTGAACAAGTGCAGAATGCAAGAACACGTTGTGAGGCATAATAATGCAACCAACAACTCCGACAGCTTGTTGTATAGTTCTGGAGCTAAGTTTAGGAACCAAAATACCTACAAAGATAAAATGAAAGCATGAGCATGCCTAGAAAATTTACTTGTAATGAACACAAATTTGCCTATGTTCAAACCCCAAATCGACGAAATAAAGTCCTTACCAACAAGAACATCGACACCATCCGGCTTTGCTTCCCCAAACATCCATGCAAATGAAAGAGCCATTATAGCAATCAGAACAGCAAAAAATGCCTCCAATTTCCTCACACCATAGTTCTCAAGAAAGAGGAAAATAAAACTGTAACAAGGCAACCACATAGAAGTTAATTGTTTAACAAATAAAAAAGCTTGAACCAGTAACTTCTTAAATGCCAAAAAAACCAAAAAAGACACTTTTTTACAACTATAAAAAAGACACTTGATCATGGACTCACCGATATTTCTAAATTTGGACTTAATGACTGTTCGTATATTTTTTCCAACAAATTTGATGATATTACATGCGAGAGATTTCCAAAGTAACGGAATCTAAGACAGCACTCTAAACGGTCTGTCTCAATGGATTTGAGATCAAACTTGGCTAGTGTTCTTTCAACATTGAATGTGTTTATTCATGGATTTACACATTTTTTTCATTTGAATCAATTGATGAAGGAACGCTACTCTTTTTTAAGAGTTACTTCTCTTCACCAAGTGGTATGAGCTGTTCTATAAATAAGGAAAACAGAACTAATTTGTTTCCGATCCAACAGACTAAAACTTTCCCAAAGTCAAAACTCCAAATCATTCCCTCTCTTCTCTTACGCACAAATTGAAGTTAAGGAACTACGGTGCTGTAAATTATCATCAAACAATATGTTCGATAGTACACACATGTAATCGATATAAAGAATTTCTAACATATCCAAAAGAGGATACCCAAACACTCTACTGCATCTAATTTCAAGAAACCAGTAGGAACAAATCGAATCTAAAGCTTCGTATCCATACACGGTTTACAATACGTAATCGTGCAATCATATTCCTCATGTCTATTCTATTTATTGCAGCATCCTTATCCACAACAAAATGCTATATAGCCCACTCCCCATCCCAACTCCAAATTATCCAAATTGTAATATAACAAAATTGAAAGTGGAAAATGAAATTACCAATCTAAAGCAGTAATAACAACACCAGCCCAAAGAGGAACAAAGCCATTACTCAAAATCCTAATAGCAATAGCACTTCCAATAACCTCTTGAATATCCGAACCAATAAGGGCAACTTCCGTCATCAACCAAAGAACAATCCTAGCCCAACTAGGATACTCCTCTCTACAAAGCTCAGCCAAATGTCTCCCCGTAGCCACACCCAACCTCGCAGACAACAGCTGAATAAGAAGCCCCATAGCCGTAGCCCACATAAGCAACCACAACAACGAGTAACCAGCAATCGCACCAGATTGAAGATCTCCCTCCAAGTTTCCAGGATCCAGAAACGCTATACTCATTAGAAAACCAGGACCGCTGAATAGCCACAGCTTCTTCCATGAAAAAGGCGGCGTTCGAACTCCGTTGTCGATATCAATCTCGTACTCTTCTTCGTCTTCTCCGATAATCACGATTTTGTCGGACGAATCGTATGCCGTTTCGTCTTCTTGGTCTTGTAAAAAAGGTTGTTGATGAGACATGGTGGGCGATTGAGGATGAAAACTAGCGTTGCGGTTACGCTGTTGTGTTCTTTTCTGAGATGATTGAAATGGAAAGTGGTTAGTGTTGAGTGGAGTTTTGAGTAGAGTTAAGTTAATGTACTTTTTTCTGCACTTGCTTCTTCTGGTTTTATCGATATGAAAGGAATAAAATTGAAGATTAATAATTACTGTATTAATTAAAACTACTATTCTGGTTTTTGTGGTCCCACATATGGAAAATCGGTTCCCATTTTTTTTTCCTTCACGCTTTTGATTATTATTGACATTGATATTAAATTGTTAGTATTTAAATTTTATAAAATAAGTACTCCCACGCAATAGCGACTGGTTAGACCACAAGTGATGGACATGAGATGAGACATCTCGAATTTATGAAAATTTTGTTTCTTCTACACAGCCAGCCACTAGTGTCTACTGTTTTTAATATGACAATATCTTTTTCCTTGTCAAAGTATGATTTTTTTTTTAGATTTATAAGGGATGGATAATAGACCGGATTGGACAGATTCAAATCCAAAAGTGAGATTTGATTTAAATTGCGGTTGAATAAATTAGGCTCATTTTTGTCTATTTTTCAAATTGATTTTGATTATTTGGATTAGTCTGAGTTATGGATTATTTTGGCCAGTTTATTTGAGTTATTGAGCTTATCTATTTTTAGGCCTAATAACATTATTTGATTTCGACGAAATCTAATTTATTTACACATTAAATTACAAAATTTCAATATAAAAATATGTTAATCATTTAAATTGGATAACATTTAAAAGTGATATTATAAATTCATATACCTTTTATTTTCTCTATTCATTAGAAAAAAATCCACTCTTAAATTTAATTATAGATTTTTTTATAGTTACAATTTAAATTGATTATTTAATAGATAAACTTAAATTTTGTTATGAAAATTCAAACTTTATATACTCATTCAAATTTAATAAAAATGAAAGTAAATATAATATTCAGAATTTAATAGAGAGATTATACGAAAATAAAAGTTTAATATTCTTTTTTTTCCGGGTAGAAGAGAGGGCTAAAAGCCTGGAAAAAATAAATTACAAACTAATATTTTTAAGGAAACTAATTTTATTCTCACCAGCTCGACGAATATGATCAAAATTTTCTAGACAAACCGCAAACAAATTATACTTTTCCTTCAAGGAGAAACTGTGATTCACGAAAGCGTCTGTCAGCTGATTAGCTTCTCTGTGAACATGAACGATATCCACCTCCCAATCAAGATCCCACATGCTAATAATTTTGGTCACCAGATTATTCCTATTGCGATGAGTACTTCGCTTCTCTTTGACTACCTGAACCACAACAAAAGAATCAACACGCATTTCTACCTTCTTAAACTTCATCTTTCTGGCCAGCTGTAACCCTTCATAAAGGCTCCAGATTTCAGCAAGATACATATCACATCACCCAATAAATTTAGAAAAACCACTAATTCATTCCCCTACAACTAATAGCGACATTTTTGCAGGCACCGTCAATATTGATGCAAATCCACCCACTCGTCGGTGGAGAAAACTGAATCTGCAGAGTCGTAACTCTCTCCATACATCTCTCTTTCATGATACCTTCCGACACAAAATAATACTCAATCATCTTCCTCAGTCTCTCTACTTGATTATGAGGCCTCACAAAGCCTTCTTCAAACTTCTTTTTGTTCCTTCATAACCATAGCATGTGACAAGCATTCACCCAAAGTCTGTCTCGATTATCTGGCCAACCATGATTCCTTCCACTACCAACATTCATATTGATCTAAGCTTACAAATTACACGTAAAAAACCGATAACTCATGGTAATAGGGATAATACTAACCCAAAGTTGGTTTTCCAACTTACAATCACGCAAGACATGGATAATATTAACCCAAAGTTTAATATTCTACCACACCAACACTTTGCAAAAATAAAAATGTAATATTTATTCGAGTTAATTTGGGTACACGTGGTTCTATTTAAATGAATTGAACCCGTCCATTTAAGTCTATTTGAAATCGAGATTCAGACTCGATGAACTGCCAACCAGTTTCAACTTAACTTAATGTGGTTTTTCGGTTTCGGTTAATGCGAGTTGAACCGATTTATAGTTTATCGTCCAACCCTAGTAAATATTAGACATAATTACTGAATAATCCCTTAATTTAATTTAATGTTTCACTTCAGTCACTTAACTAAAATATGTTACACTTTAGTCCCTTAAAAACACTTTTGTTAACTGATTTGGTCTTTTCTATCAAATTTTGTCAAAAATCGTTAAGTTCTGCTGACATGGTTTTACAGCAAGTCTTAAGGTACAAATCTGACTCAGCATATGTATTAAAGAGTTGTTTTAAATTGCAGGGATTTTGTTTTTGGAGGTTAAAAACACCCGCAAATCGCTAATAATGTGTAAAATATATATAACTCTTTATAGCAATAACACGCGTAAATAACTTGGTTATCCTAACAATTTCAAAACCATTACAATAAAGTCTCTTCATGGCACATGATTTCACTAACATCAAGCTCATTTCCATACAGAATTAAATACACAATTGAACAAATCCAGTTGCACCAAGGGGCTTTGTTGTTTATGATACTTTTTTATAGATGAAGTACCAACAACAAAGTTGAAAGAATATCCACATAGAAGAATATTCCCCTTTATCAATTTCTTATTAAAAATTTCTTTTCTCTGGAAATCTATGGGATTGTACTTCATAACTGAAGAATTTAGCAGCACATCATTTGCAATAACCAATGTGTATATTTGGTTTAAATGTGTAGAAGTTGTACACCAAGCCATTATGCATATTTTAGAAACCTAAAAATAGTTACATGAAAATTTGTATATAAAGTATACAATATGAACTAGCAAATGATAAATGAAATGTGGAATAACATATTGGAGGAAACATAGTAGGAAGTTAGAAAACTTATTGTTCAAAAATGTAGTTTTAGCGGTTGCGCCGCTAGCTTTCCCAAATTCTTCCTCAAAATAAAGCGCTTATGTTGTGACAGTGGTTGTAACAATAAACCAAATATCAATATTATAAACATAACAAATATGAAATCCTCGATAGGTCAGTCACCTAAATTCCTAAACATCTAATTTCAACAACAAAATCCATATTATAATTCAATTCAAAGAGCTAAAGCTCTAGCAGCTCAAAAGATTATAATGAAGTCGTTGGGAGAAATAAATGAAAAGTAATTGCTTTATACTTTTTGGAAAACATAGTCTCTGACATTATGTTCAAACGCAAAATAATTTATACATATTGTTGCTTTTCTTGAAGTTCAATAGCACTAATCAAACCTGTAACCTTTGTTTCCTTTTCAGACTGCAGAGTATAAAACAAGAAAAGTAAAACTTATGTTGGTATGTTGGAAACATGTATCGAAAAAGGGAAAATTATAAATAAACCCCATAATTCATTTTCTATATATGTACATGAATTTTGTTTTGTAATACATAACCCCTTCATGTTTGGGTTAGATTTTAAAAAAATTGTTAGATTCACATCTCATGGGGTCACGTAGGAAGCATGTTCCTTCGAAAATAAAAGGTTAATTAGCTTGCATGATAACATTTTTCCTCAAACAAAACAAAGAAAAAAAAACAAAATAAAACACTTACAGGGAACAAAGTCTTTCAAAACTCAAGATTGGTCTTAGGAGCTTCAACAATCCTTGTAGCCCAAGTGATTAACATCGTAAGAATTTTTCCATCACCACCTTCAACCTCTGATCTATCAACTTCATAAGCTCCACATTTCATAAAATCACTTTTACCAAAATGTTTCTCCGACTCAAAATTATTCACTGACCGAAAATTTCCAACCTCGAGAAATGTAAGACGGAAAGACTTATTCAAGGAAACAACAAATCTATGTGATTTTTCTCTTACTAGACAAGATAAAAAATTATTGTAATTTAACTAGGGTTGCATGTATTTTCCCTAAAACAACATAAAAACCAAGATGAAAATAGGACGAAATGTGTTCAATAATAAAACTTCGGAAGTACATGATTGAACAATCAAGAAGGAGAAGAGAGAAGAAAATGAAGACTAGTGTTTTTTTTAGGGAATAAAGAAGAGAAAGAGAGGAATGCGTATGTTTCCAAATCTCAAGATACTAACCATGTGGAAAAATAAGTAATGATATAAGAATATATTTCAAATAAACAAGAAAATCATGTCAGATAAATATATTCAGCTAGATTGCCACATCTGCATAATTTAACAATTTTTGAGAAAATTTGACGGAAAGGACCAAATCGGCTAACATAAGTCTTTTTAAGGGACTAAAGTGTAATATTTTTTAGTTAAGGGACTGAAGAGAAATATTAAATTAGGTTAAGATACTAAAGCATGTATTATTAAAATGAGGTAAATAATGAAAATGTTTTCTAGTATCAAGTGGAGAGAGCAATAAATATAAGTTGAGTTTATGATTATGCAATCGTATATTCCTTAGTGTTGCGGCGCGAAAAATACTCGAACACATAACATGCTCGAAATAAACAGAGTCGTCATTGAACTTTATTTATTCTAAAAAGAAATGAAAAATATCAATAAAACCCACAAAAGAATGATGATATGGTCATCGCAACCAAATTAGAGCTCGAGAGTCAATTATGCAAGGGCAAAGTATTAACACCTCTCACATCTGTTGTACTCAACGAGACCCATTTAGTTAGTTTCACGAAAGAAAGTTATCTTATATTTATATGTGAACTTCTACTTATTGTGAAAAAAGATAAAGAATTTTTTTTTTTTGGTTTTTTATTAATGAGCTCGACAAGATTTCAAATTCTTGTGCCTACGTATTTCTGAGTGCAATAGGAAAGTCAGAGCTTACGTAGTTCTTGGGGAAAACTATGCTAGATTTGAAAAGGTTTGTGTTGTACCCCAAAATTTTCTCTCTCATTTATCAAGATTTTTCTCACAAGACTTCTTGGACTCAAGACAAGTTTAGG